TTTTTTTTTTTGCTGGGACCTTCCTTGATCCTTGCACGGGCTGGCCACCCGGGACCCGGGCGGCCTGGCTGGTAGCCTAGTTTTTTTGAAAGCTGACAAAGTGGAAACAGCTTTGTCCAAACCGGTTCCCTTTTTTTTTTTTTTTTTTTCTGATTGAAAAACAGCCCCTTATGCTCCTCTGGCTTCATGTCCATTCTGGGGAGCATCAGTCCGGTTCCTTTTCCCCCGGAAAGTCATTTATTATTACATCATTGACATTCTCACGCGTACCCTTCCATTTGGCCGAAGGACCCCTGACCAACATTGATTACTTTCTGTATCAGGACGATTGACAGTCAGCTTGCCTTCTCACGAGTCTAAATCGGTTCCTTTTTGGTCAAAATTAACTAACCGAAGGATTCATGAGGAGTATAAAACAAGCCGTTGCACAAAAAAAAAAAAAAAGGGAGTTGCCGGGGGACACAGATAAGAGGTGGGAGGAGGGGGAAGAAGGAGATCCCTGTCGCTCCACGTCAGAAACGAAAAAAAAAAAAAAAAAAACTTTTTCTCCCCAGCTTAGACTTTTTGGTACTGTACCGACTGGCCTATCTCAGTTGGTGCACCCTTGAACTGACCTGTTGAAATGCAGACCTGAGATCGAACTCCACTGCAAGCAGGATGAGTGAATCATCTTTGGGGCGGTCAGTTCGATGATGATATCGCAAGGCCGTCACCCTATTAGAAAAGGAAGGGAAAAAAAGGATTAAAAAAGACGGAAAACTTTTTGGTTCTGTGCGGACTGGTTGCTGCAGTACTATGTGGGCTCATACACACACACACACACACACACACACACACACACACACACACACACAGAGAGAGAGAGAGAGAGAGAGATGGTTCTATGAAAAGTTGCGTGATCGCGCACAAGCACTCTAGATATTGTGTTGATGTTCGGCGGCTGCTGGGCTTTTATGTCTTGCAGGTCCCAATCTCGGAAATGCCTTCCATCTGCCCCCTTCACCCGAATACGACGTACGGTCATCATTGCTGTATGTAGAGTTGTAGACTCAAAGTTGCCCCTATTACATACATCCATAATGACCGTACATTGTGTTTGGGTGAAGACGGTTGTTCCCCCAACCCTATCGAGCAACAGCAGTGTCTAAGGCCAAAACGCTCCCACGCACCGTACACAACCCACACACACTCTCACGCCCGTGATGTCTAGAGCCCTTATCAATACTGACCTGGGGGAGCAAGCCAACTATCCCAGTCGGTGGCGCCAGGTGTGTGCCCCAAGCGGTCAATGGGGACTGAACCAACGACCTCCCGAATCCCAATTGCGTGCCTAATCAACTGAGCTAGGCTGCTTGCTCACCTGTGTGTTTTTTCTCAGGTGCTGAGCTCTTTTTTTTAAGGTCCCCCCCCCCCCCCCCCCCCCCCTTCCCCGCCTGCCCTTGTGACCTTTTTGCTCCCGTGCCTTCGGATACCAACCTCATGGTCCTCATCTACCCCGCTCCCCCCCACCCTCCCCTTTTATTTACTGAGAAATTGAGCTTGTGCCTGTAAGATAGCTGAAGAGCACTTGTCTTTTTTTTTTTTTTTTTTTTTTTTTTGAGCCTCCACTGGTGCATGTCTATGTCTGGGAATCGGAAAATCCAGAGCGTGTCAGTAATCTCGTTTTTTTCATAAATACAATCAGATTGCCTTTTTTTTGGTTCTTTTTTGGACCGTGCAAGGAAAATAAGCAAGAGCGAGATGACAAACCCAGATCACACCATCACATTGCAAGTCAAATAGTCACACCGTGTCCGGATAGCAGCCTTGCACCAATAATACACCAATGGAGTTTCGTAGCACTGAAAACCAATGTCCGTGGAGAGCACACTCTCTCCTCTCAACACAAGAGTCCAGTTCCCTTACACTCACACTTGGCGCTCAGCGCTCAGCTACTACAGACTACAAAAAGACAATGCAAACTGTTGACATCAGCAGCAGCCCGAAGTACTTGAAGATGCCGCCCATGCAGACCATCGCCAATACAAGGTAAGTGCCCTCACATCATCATCATCATCATCATCCTTCGCCTATCCCCTGACTTCACCCACACCTGTCCTCTCTGACACCCGAAGACCACCCCTGCGCTTCACTGTAGTCCAAGCCCACCAGCTATGGTGGCTGGGCTATGGCGCTGCCCTTAGCAGCGCCCTCCTCCTCTGCACGACCGCACGTGCTGCACCTCGCCTCCCAGTTCTAGCAGCAGTCCACGAGCATCTGCTCTAGCAGCGCTGCCGCCAGCATGCGAGTGCCTGAATGAGGCTGCCTGGCCAGAGCTCTTTCCTTTATGGAAAAGAACTGGCCATCTCTCGCAGCCTGGCTGGGCTGGCCTGGGCCCAGCAGCTTCCGGAAGGCCCCAAGATGCTGTCTGGATGCAGCAGCTACTGGGCTGCTGGGCCTCGTTCGGTTGGGCGCCCAACTGTCTCTGTATGAGGCTGCGAATCACGCCCAGGGCCTGCATTCTTTGGAAAGGCCCGGTAGGCCGTGGAAATGTCTTCGGTACTCGGCCTGTGTTTCTTTCAACCAACTGGCGCGTCACAACT